CAACAACTACACACACACACACACACACACACACACACACACACACACATATATATATATATATATATATATATATATATATATATATATATTATACTACGATGTTTTTATTAATAGATTTATTGGTACAATCTAGTTTTACGGTGGTCCCGGCGATAATGAGCTCACACGCGTTCTACGCCTTATACTAGTTAGTGGTATCCACTCAGACGTATATGTTTATATATCCAAGGCAATCCTACAATAATTTATGTATTTTGATGTTATTCTTTCATGTGTGATGGCTAGAGCTCAGGAGAGGTGACCAGACGTTTGTATGAATCCTGCCAACAGAATTTCTTCTCACGTTGTCTATTTATAGAATTCACAATCAATATTTGTCCTGTGCGCAGGGAGTCACTGCGCCACGTCGCTAGTGAGATCGGGTGTTGGGAAGATCCGCCTCATCGATTTCGACCAGGTTTCGGTATGTTGCATTCGAACGTTAGTGTATGTGTGGTATATAGATACTGTCCACTTCAGGCTCGAGTAGTCATTCGTATCCGGAAGTCAGTGTTTGCGTGGTATTAGATACAACCTACTACAGGCTCAAGTAGTCATTCGTATCCGGAAGTCAGTGTTTGCGTGGTATATAGATACAACCTACTTCAGGCTCAAGTAGTCATTCGTGCAGAGTGGCTGAGGGTCTCTATTTGATGCGATCCCCTCGTCACAAGTTGTACATGTCGGGGATAACGTCATTTTATTAAAACATTGAAACCATAGGTGTCTTCATCTGATTTTTATTATTTTGCTCTATACTTGTCAGGTGTCATCGCTGAATCGACATGCTGTGGCTAGGCAAAGGGACGTAGGCCTGTCAAAGGTACAAGACATCGTCTGAATCTATGTATATGTATATATGTGTGTGTTTGTTTGTGTGTGTGTGTGTGTTATATTTGTGTAAATACAGACATGCAAATTTAGACTATTCGATTTGTATGCAAATCACAAAGCCGCCTGGCATGGATACTGCGCCGGTTTACCCAGACTGTGCGTTCCATGCTCAAGCTTTACTATGGTCCGGTCACCGCCTTCTATATAGTTGTAGTATCCACAATTACACCCCACACAGAAAATCAGTGTATCAAATTGGTCAGGGCCTAATGCTTGATATCCATATGACTCTTCTGTCCAACCGATTGCACTGAGTTATTTGAAGAGGGCGACTGGTGTATAGTGCATATGTGGGGCGTGGGGCATGTATATTTATATGTATCTGTTTGACCAAAGTGTACTCAAATACACTCGCAATAATATCAAATATACACTGATTCGGATTCGTTGTCGTTCGGGAGGAGAAGGGGTGTGTGTGTATGTCAGTCAGTCATTGTCTTTGTAAGTCCTATGCAGTGCGTATTTATCGGCCTTGGGGTGAGTTTCACCAGTCCTCAGACTGTGTATTTGCACCTATGACAGTCAATCGTTACCTTTGACCATTTGAACGATCAACAGATAAACCTTGTTTTTCGTTTCACCTATCGATGCTTTGTTAATAGGTGCAAGTGCTGAAAAATGAGTTCGCTGAAATATGCCCACGCGCGGAGGTAGATATTAGGACGGCGTTTTTCTCTCTGTCGGAAGCCCCCCAGTTACTAGAAGGTATATATATATATATTGTATTTATATA